GGAGATGCGGCAGTCGGAGGGAGGCTCGTCAGGACTGAAATCCTGATCCTGTACAACTTTCTGAATTACTCTTAACACCTGTATTTACAGTATTTTATCCTACCTTCCTTAAAAAGAAATTTCACGGAATCCAGCGAGGTTTTTTTAAGGCCGTAGATAGGATATCCATAACAGAAGTCGATGAACGTCTGAGGTAAATCAAAGCGACTTGCAAAGCCCACCACTCTCCACCCATTTATCGTAGTCGTCACATTTGATGGTGGCTGTCCTCGTAAAGACATCTACAATTATAACAGCAATGACATCATTGTCAGCCTACATCTGATCAAATTTAACATTTTTGATCGCAGTGTTACCGAAAGGGAGAAGCAAGTAATGATACTTGATAAACCCGGCAAAGTTTAATTTTATAAAGTAACACTGATGCTCTCGGCGAACCCCGCGTCTTGCAGGGTTATCACAGGTGATGATAAATCACTACAGATCTCAACTAAGTGCGAGAAGTTTGGCATTTTTAGTCGTGTAATACTTTATTATTACTCGGCAAAGCAAGATTTTCTAACACCTGTCGCAGGCTGATTTTTATTTGCTCTGGCTGGGGAATAGCCAAGTCCAGGTGAGATACATAGCAAGCACCAGCTGATGGAATTCGGCGAACAGTTAAGCCCTGAAAAAAAAAAAAGGGAAATCGTTTTGGATCATGTACTCTCAAATTCCCCAAGATGCATGCAAGAGAAGGACAAAATACACTCCTCTGACAGATCTCAGTAAATACATACATACGTACATACTTTGTTTGAACAGCTCCCTGTCTAGAACTCTTCCGCCGTCAATGCTAACAACTAATTACATGAATATATCATAATGCTGAAATTAAAAATTACAGATTTAAAAAATAATTATAGACTTTAGCCTCAAACTTTTTTGCGTCAGAGGTTTTCTTAATCTCGTTTGGAAGGTTATTATACAGCTTTGCACCCCGAAAAGCAAGTGATCGTTGCCCTGTTTTTAATCTACAAATTGGGAGGTCTAATTCACCACTGTATTTAGTGTTTCTGTCGTGAATCTTCGAACGCTGAATAAATTTTCCAGTGAGGTAGCTGGGTATCTGGGTAATGGTAACCATGGCATTGAACCAGCTAACTGACGTTCAGCTAACTGACGTTCTCATGCGGGTTGTTAAAATAAATGAAACTTAGAGAAGGATGAAGCTGGAAATGTTAAGACTATATAAATGAAACTAATTATTGTATCGCTTAGGGCGAACTCCGATTGGGGTTTGCTCTTTAGATAGGAGCTAATTGGTGCACACAAATACTTGTAATATCTGCCAATTCTGTTATTTTTTTTATTAAATGAAAGCTCAAGTTTTGAATTAAATACTTTTGAGGGCAGTTACTTTCGAATGGTCCTTTTGCTCGTGATCATGGACGTACCTCTTTGAAATCATTCATCATTTCCATTGCATCCACATCATTGTGTTGAGGAACACGGAACACTTCGGTTTGACTGGCGACATCCACCTCTACAGTCTCATAAAACCTTGTTCCTTTTTCAAGAATTTCAAGGGAGTAACTTTCAACCTGAGTTGCCAAAGCAAGACCGTCACTCGTTTTACACTTAAAACTTCGCTTCACTCTGCACTCAATTTGTACTCGACATATGACTGAATATTTTTACATGTGCCCGCAGGTCTTTGATCAATTCAGAGGGCAATTAGAAAAAGTGTCATATTAGGTTCATTTGATATGAACACCTATACATCTAGTTAGTATGGAAAGAAAAATTACATGGGAATTGTTTTGTTTATAAATGTTCTCTAATTTCAGAATATGATACACAGAAAGAAAGAGAGCAAGGAGGAGCTGGTACCTTGCACTCCACTTGTACTCCATATAAGGAAACGAGCAGGAAACTGACCAAAAAGGCAATCTGAAATTTCAAAAGATTCGCTCATAATCAAATGACGAAAGATCGGAGTACGTTTTAAAAAGCTAGCAACTCAGAGGTGCTTAGCTTTGTTCCACGACTTAACAGTTCACGTTTACGAATGTAGACAAAGGAAAATAATTTCTCTTACTGTGTGTGAATGATATCTGGGCTTTTAGATTAATAATTTCGATAGTCGTCTGATTTTAGCCGGAGCATGAGCATGCTACGAGATATAACTTATCATCTGGGGAGTTGGAATACAAATAAGATATAAACCACTATTTGAATTCAAACTTGTCTGCGGAACGGGGGATTGGGTCTTGACAAAATTAA